ATAGCTAATATATGTTGAAGATGAGATATAAATAAATCCTGATCTGATTCTGTAGCCCATTTTATTTTTACTGCACTACATATGAAAGTAAACATACTTTTAAAGATTTTTGATAAAGCAGTGAGTTATAGAAGCAGCTATAATTCTTTCTTAACAAAGGGTGCAGCCATTGCCTGAATTTTTTTTTAAAAGTGGCATATTTTAATATATTCCTTAAGATCTTTGGGTACAATCTGGGAAAATTCTGAATACTCCCTGTCTTAGCACGTGTCCTCACATGTGCTAAAATTTTTCTGCAAGATTTTAAACTTTGTGATCTAACTTATTAAAATGAAATTTACCAACTAGATAACCAAACTGCAAAGTGCTGAGTATTTGTTCAGAAAAGGTGGTACAAGAATTTCAAGATTTTGAATATATGATTTCTCACTACTTTGTTGTAATCAATGATTTAAGACTAGAGTCTCAGACTTCTGTAAAGAATGTCTTTCTGTATGTAAACCCCCAAACAGGACTGAAGCATTCAAGAAAGAGAACCTGCAGGTGAAAGGCCCCGCCTTCTGTTCATCCATTCTGCCCCCATCCCCACCCCCAGTATCTTCATCTCTTCCTTGGGCTTTGCCTTCTCACTTCTCACTCTGGTCATCACCCCTGGCAACCAAGAGTGCCAGGCCCCTATCGCAGCTGTAGTAGTGGCAGCCTCTATTCAAAAAGAACATTGCCGAAATCTAAAGAACAGCATACATAATATAATTACATAAACATAAGATTTATGAAAATAGTCAAGTTCTGTAGTTGAAGCTTCTGTGTTCACTGATCCATAAATAGAGATGATCTTTCATCCCCAGATAACTTCAGCTAAGTGTCGGGTGAGCTGCAAAACCTAGATACATTATTATTTTCTTACAGTCTCAAAAACATCAGGAGACACAGCTTGTTGTTCTTCTGGATAAAACAAATTCTCAGACTCAAATTTCCAGACATTCTAAAAAGGCTAATGATGTAATCTCACATGAGATGGAGTTATGTCCCCAATTTTTTAGATTTAAGCACGTGCCATGGGGAAGGGGAGATCTTCCATCAGTTGGTATCTGGAAAATTAATAATTGTTTTTCATAAGGTAATTATTAGTTCCATTTAATAATTTCTCATAAACAATTGTGACATCAACTATCTTATATATAAATATTTTAGGCATCTGTCGAATTTTCATTATATCTGCCTCTTCAAACACAATGAAATGGTATCAACAAATAATGACCTATCTTCAATAGTAATTCTTTTCTATATGTATTCTTTTTTTTTAATTGATATGCTTGATTTTTGTGTTTTCTTCATTTTTCTTGCCACCAAAATGTCTCTGTAAGCCATTTGTGTCCTGTAGTCTGCCAAATAAGAGATGGGGAATAAAGGCATGGCTATTTCCCAGGACTTGGGCCAGGTCCATGTAAAAGTGGATTTACCAATTTACTATAATCAGACACCACTGGTCACATTGCAAGGTTATTTTTCTTTCCACACTGCTTTTTTTGTATTTTTTTTTCTCAAGTTGAAATTTATCCAACTAATATCATCATAGGTTCTACTTGTCTTTTTTTTTTTTAATGCAGTCTTTGGCTTTTCCCTAACTTTATAGGGTCCATTTGTATTTAAGCCCCCGTCCACATTGTTGTTTGTAACTCCTTCCAATTTAGTAGTATCTGCAAATTTCATTAACATGCTATTTACTCCCTCTTCCAGATCATTAAAAAATGCTATTTCTTATGTATTAAATTTTGCGGTCGAATAGATTTAATTTGCTGTTGTAATTTCAATGCATGTTTTCTAAAGACACAATGCAGTTAAGAATGGTCTTAACATAGGCTTAAATCCATACCCAGTTTATAGTTATTTTACTATTATGCAATCCATTTGTGTTCTCTAATCAGCACTGTTGTGAGCTCCATTGAAGCCATAATCTATTGGTTTTCTCTTCCCTCTTTTTCAATACAGTCATCATCTTGGCTTTAAATGCACAGCAATAGCAGAGTCAGACTATTGTTGTACTCTAATCCACTGCTATTTATAAAAGGAAATTAAGTCTTTTTTCTCAGTGGATATTTTTCTACTGATTTAAAAAATGCTCTGCATTAAAAAATTTATTTTGTAATCATAATAGTCAATTTTCCTATGCATAGTATCAATATTCTAGTAAGAAATAAATTATACAGATTTTATATGCAAGTCAATATAATGCGTAATAGGTATCAATATATTTAGATAAAATATATCTAGTATTTTGCACATTTACATATATAAATAAGGGTGGGTGAGCATGTATGTTTTTTAGTAGATCTGCCTACTAACTCCCTGATTCCTAGAGAATGTGGGGTGACTTTATTTTTTGTAACAGATTTAGATCACCTGCAAATCAGAGAATAAGGTTCATTAGGACTTCGCTTTACTTTCTGTCACATATCATCTTCCTTGTTAGCTTTGATGGCCCTAGTTTACATTTTCAGTGAAATGAGGGAGGCTTTCTACCTATGCTCACATGCTTAGTTTTAAATTATTATCCAGAGGTTAGTCTCCCATATTTCTATTTTCTTGTCTTTTCTCTCTCAAAATCTCTGTTTTTTCAAAAATTTTTTATTTGTTCTTTTTAGATATATATGACAGTAGAGTGTATTTTGACATGTTATACATATATGCATTATAACATTCTAAATAGGATCGCATTCTTGTGGTTGTACATGATGTGGAGTTTCACTGGTCGTATAATCATATATGAACATAGGAAAGTTATGTTCTATTCAGTCTACGGCCTTCCTAGCCCCATTTCACCTCCCTTCCCTTCATTCCCCTTCATCTAATCCAGTAAACTTCTATTCCTCCCTCTTCCCAGCCCCGTTGAATGTTAGCATCTGCATACCAGAGAGAAAATTCAGCCTTCGGTTTTTGGTGACTGGCTAGCATGTACATACATCCAACCTTTCTCAATTTTGAGAATCAAATAGACCACAGCACAATAATACTGGGTGACTTTAATATGCCTCTCTCTTCACTAGATAGATCCTCCAAACAAAAACTAAATACAGAAGCTATAGAACTAAAACATACAATTAATAATTTAGACTTAACAGACGTAGAATATTTCATCCATCAATGACTGAATACACTTTCTTCTCATCAGCACATGGACCTTTCTCTAAAATGGAACATATCTTAGTCCACAAAGCAATTCTTAGCAAATACAAAAAAAAAAAAAAAAAAAGAAAGAAAGAGATAATACCTTGCATTCTATCAGATCATAATGGAATGAAATTAGAAAGCAAGTTTTAAAATAAAAAATAGAAATAAATATTTTAAAATAAAAAATAGAAGCTACTCTTTCTCCTTCTGAATATGATACCATAGCAACCTTTTTTCTTCCACCTTGAGTTTATTTGATCACTGAGACTCAGTTTCCCCTTCTGAGTTGTCTCCTCATAACTCTCCTAGCAGGCTCGGGGTGTTGCTGTAAAGTTTAAATGAGTAAACTTAAATAGAAGGAGTTTTATAAGTTATAAAAAAGCACACAAAATATATTGGGATTATTGAAACATAATAAAGAAAAATACATATTTTTACTGAGAATTATTAACTGTATTTCTAGATATTTTTTTCTCATGTTGAACTTTCAGTAAATATTTGTTTTCCCAGTAAATGTCAAAAGACATGCTATCCTTTCATATTTGGCTTCCAATGCAATTGAGTACTGAATCTTCAGATTTGAAAAGTCTCTGCATTTTAGAATTTTCGTAACTCAACAACATACAATTTTATAAACCAGAATTTTGAATAAACCCACAGAAGAACTCTTTGAGTTTAAAAAGGCAAGCATAATAAAACCAAGCAAAATTGTTTCCCTATGGAAAATTATTTTCCATGTTGTGTGTGGTTTTTGTTTTTAATTTTAATTTTTTTTATAGATGACAGAATGCCTTTATTTTATTTGTTTACTTTGATGTGGTGCTAAGGATTGAACCCAGTGCCTCATATATACCAGGTAAGTACTCTGCCACTGAGCTACAGCCCCAGCCCTGTTTTTTTGTTTTGACATCTTAAAGAGTTGAAATTTTGTTAAAGACATTGTTTGGGTTATTTATTTGTTTAATTTTTCCAACTAGGGCAATTTGTCTTATGTAAATTTTGGTGATTCTTTTGAAAGTGGACTTTTGGGGACACTTTGCTTGTCCCAACCTTACCATCCTCCCAACTCATTCCACTCTTTTTTTTTTTTTTTTGGTACCTGGGATTGAACTCAGGGGCATTGGACCACTGAGCCACATCCCCAACCCTATTTTGTATTTTTATTTAGAGACAGGAACTCACTGAGTTGCTTAGTGCCTCACCACTGCTGAGGCTGCTTTTGGTCTCACTAAACTCCTGTTCCAGCCTCTTGAGCTGCTGGGATGTTCCACTCTTTTTTATTACCAGTCATATTTTATGATAAATCTCCATACATTTCTCTCCACTTTCAACCTTTTCTTCTGAAATTATCTTCATCGTTGACAGTAATGAACTCCTTGTTTTTTCCTGGCAGAGAAAGAAAAACCAAACACATGGTCCATGTCAGGACCCCATAATTATCTTATACGTTCCTGTAGATGTAAGCCCTTCCCCGCTCACACACCCATGCGTACAAACACATTTTGGAATCAATTCCTTAAACATTTTAATCAAAATCCTCTTTACTGCCAGATGTCAGGGATAAATAAAAGAGTTCAAGTAACTGGATAACTGTCTTAGTTTTTCAGATTGTTAACGTAGAGCAAGCCTTACCAAATCTTTGTGGTAGACATTTCAAAATAATTGTCAGATCTGCAAAACTTAAATGAATTATCACAGGTGAGTGATTAAACCTCAGCCTCACTCTGTCTAGGAAACCAGTTTATCTGGATCACTTTGCCATGAAAAATTATTTACATAAACCTGCAACAGGTTTCATTGTGTCAGATTCTACAGCTTGATAGCAACAACCTACATTCCCAGTCTGGAGGAAGTTGCCTTAGACATATCTTGAGACGGCTTAGATTATTTCTGGTCCCGATGGATCTGGGTAAGTTTTAGTGTCAATATCCTATTATAGAACAAAGTTCTTAGACATTCTTGAAGTACTGGGCTTCTGAGTAGCTTTCTCTTTAAATGTAAAAGTCAGTGGGACTGAATTCAAGCTCTTACCCTATTCCAGTGTTCTAGGCAGGTCAGGATAAATCTGGAGTGATCTTATCACAAGTGACCTTGTAATAAGATGGAATCCTGAAGACAAATTTTAGTGAAGGCATTGAGTGTCTAAAATGGAAAAATAAAAACTGAAAGCATTATAGAGTAAGGACTAAAAACATGGCTTTGGAATTAGATAGGCCTGGATGGAGACCTGAGTTTGCTACTTATGAATTGTGTGACCTTACATAGACCATAGGGCCAATGAAAAAATGTGCATTTTCATGCATATTTTACTTAGCCTCTCTGAACCTCAGTTTCTTCATCCATAAAATGAGGACAGTATTCATGTTTTTATTTGTGTTAAATAAGTCAATACATGTATAACACTTACAATAAAACCTGGTCCAGAGTTAGTGTTCAGTAGTGCCAGCTATAATTGTTGTTATAATCATTCATATTTCAAGTGCTAAATATCTGATATTTTTGTTGTTTTTTTTTGGCTACCTAAATTATTTGTTTATTCTGGAGTCAGCTTTTTTCTTTGAACTTCTATTTTTTATTTTGTTGTAGTAATTTTCTAAGACATCTCTGGTGACTGCTTGTTATTGTTTACATATAAGAATGAAGAATCATGTTGACTATTTTAGGTAGCTGGCATGGATTTTCTCTGTTATATTGTGAAATAGATTTTTCTCTTATAGGACCCTTCCCTGAATAGGGAGACTTAATGGAAATCTCCAATAAATCTCCAATGACCAGCAGGATTACTTTAGGATAACTTTTTTTTTTCTTTTTCAGGATTACTTGAGGATAACTGCTATGATTTGGACCTGAAGTAACCCTCACAGGTCCATAAATTGAAAGTTTGGTCCCCAGGTAGGTGCTATTTGGAGGTGGTGGGAACTTTGAGAGGTGGGGCCTGGTGGGCATGCATGGGACCCCAGCCCTTTCCTCTTTTGCATTTTCCCATCCCAGCCATGGAGAAAGGACTTTTTCTCTGCAGTGTGCTTCTGCCATGTCATGCTGCCTCACCACAGTCCCATGATAAAGCCAGTCCTGGACCAGATCCTCAAACTGTGAACCAAAGTAAACCTATTTAAAAAAAATAAAAAAAGTTGATTATCTCAGGTATTTGTTATAATATTAGAAAGTAGATTAATATAAGAACTTTAAATAAATATAAATAAGTATGTTGGCATATGAATGTATATTCATGCTTATTTATATAAATAAGTATGTTGGCATATGAATGTGTAGTCATGCTTATCTATATATAAATATATATGGATATATTTTATATGTGCATATTCACATATTTATAAACAAACATATCTATTTTATATATGCATACTTGTATTTACTTACTTAGATATTTATTTCGTGGTTGGTTCAGCTTACATAGGTAAATTAGTATTGTTTTGCCTTGGACTTTTTTTTTTTTTTGGTCTCATCTTGTGAAGTTATAGACTATAGGGCCAATGAAAAAATGTGCAAGATCCTACCAGAGGTGACAAAAAAAATAAGTGTCAGGAATAGTACCTTGCTGGATATTTAAGTGAAAATTTTGCTGCAGCTTGAGAGACCTTTAAGGAAATAACCAGTTATGAAGAAGATAAAGATCAGGGAAAGAGTAGGAATTAGTAAAAGTCCTTTGATATTATGAAGGATACCAAAAATATCATGCTAACCTCTGAGGATTTATCAAAAATAGCAAGGGGAAAAACTATCCCCAGTAAGCATATTATGACTTACGGACTTTTAAGAGAAAGGAAGAGTGATGTCAGTGTGTATTCTGGGAATTAATCTCCAAGTGGAATGGCCATGACGTGGTAAGGCTCCTGTTGCCACAAACGTGTCCAGACGTTGAAAGCGTGTTTGGGCACAGCACAGCTGGGGAAAGCCTCACAGTTTCAGTCTTTTCTTCTTCCATTCCATCTGTTCTCTGAAATGCAAAGTAATAGGAAGGAGAGTTCCTGCTCCTGATATGACTATGATACCCACCCTTAGGAAAGAGAAGGAGCTGTGTGTAGCCAGTTTGGGTTTTTTGCTTTGTTTTGTTCCAGCACGACCTTGTATGGCTCAGGTTGACCTTGAACTTTTGATCTCAATTGATTCTCCTGCTTCAGTTTCCTGAGTGGCTGGGACTACAGGTGTGCACCATTTTATACCTGGTCTTATACCATTTCTTGTTATTTGTTCATTTATTTATTTAGTCATTTAGTTTCTTCTAAAGAAAATGAACTCTGGAAACTGTTGTGCTTTCTATTGCTTTACTATTGCTCCGTACAGCCACCATCTCCATCCTTAGCTGAGATGGAGGTTTTTGAGTTTAGAGGTAGAAGCTATCAGTAAATCAAACTGGTCATAAAACAGAATAGGACTTAGGGTCTCCAACGATGACATGCAAGCTAGAATGGCTGGAGAGAATTAGGAGCTGAAAGAAGGGACCATAGGACTGGCAGCCGAGATTTCAAGACATGTCCAATGAGAATTTTTTAAAAATACTATGGAACTCTGTAATGAAAGCCCCTTCTCCATATTTTCTACAAAAGTTCAGCAAATATAGACAGTTCACTAACCCTTTGATTTTGGTAGTCAATTGTTAGTGAAATAAGGCATAGAGAATGTGAAAACACACAGAGGCCAGCCTCTCAGCTGAAGGGATGAACCGTGTCAACTGCAGCTACAGCATAATTAGGAATTCTTCCTGAACATGAGCGAAGCCCTTAGGGAGGTTGCAGAGAATGTAACATGTTGAAAACATGCAGACTTTCCATAGCTGATGTAGGACATAAGTATGATACATGGAATATTTTTGAAGGGGCTCTGCATGCACACACATGTGCACATATACACTTCTCTTTTAAAGATAAAACTTTAGAGAAAAATGTCCCCAAATTACTTGCCCAAAACCTCACTTACCATATTTTGTCATAATGCATCTCATCCTCAGTTTTTCAAACTCTTTTCTGTTATTTTTGTGACATCCAAAGTCTAAATAAGGGACTGGGGCTGTAGTAGAGTATTTGCCTAGCATGCATGAGGCACTGGATTCAATCCTCAGCACCACCTAAAACCAACAAAACAAATAGATAAAGTTCTTTTTTAATTTTTTTAGTTGTAGATGGACACAACACCTTTGTTTTATTTATTTATTTATTTGGTGCTGAGGATCGGACCTAGCACCACATGCATGCAAGGCAAGTGCTCAACCACTGAGCCACAACCTCAGCCCTTAAATAAAGTTTTTTTTTTTTTTTAAATAAAAGCCTACTTTAATCTGTTTAAAAAACAAATTTAAATAAGTGACTTGTCCTTTTACTGAATACATTTTGGAGGAATAAAACAAAAAAGCCTAAGTAATCTCATCATGGGGGCAGAAAGACAGGTAGACAGTGCAACCCCTCCAAGGTAAGAACATAGGCTTTGGAGTCAGATAAACTGGGCATGAAGTTTCAACTCTGCTGTTATCTAAGCTGGTGATATTAGACAAAAAAAAGCCCTTTCTCTCAGTGTTTCCTGGCCAAAAAAGAGTAAGACTATTCATTTCTTAGGTGTTAAGAATAAAATATAGTGGATGTATAACCAGCACCGAGTGGATGTTCAATAAATGGCATAGATGACAGGCTAAAAGCATTGATTATTGAATCAATACAGCCCAGAAGATTCTCTGCCAAGGTCAACATTCAGAAAACTTTGTATTTGAAACTCTGTATTCCTCCCTTATCCTTGCTTTTCTTCTAATTAGAACAAAAACACAGACTGCTCTTTTCTTCCCAGCAAGCATCTCTTGGTACTCAAAAGAGTTCCATACCCTGCATTATAAACTTTATTGAGTTGCTCCAACAATGTGTAGTTCTGGTACATAAATGAATTTTGTACATCATCTGGGACACACCTGCATATCTCAGTTGCTTCATGCTGTCCCCCACTCACAACTGTGTCAATGTTGACTTAATGTTATTCATTTGCTTATGTTATTATTGAAAACGAATCCTTAATTAAAACAGCCCAGTGTCACCCGGCTCATGTAGAGTGCCACAAGCAATAATCCCTAATTTAATGTATACTTGGGTTCATACCTGCAATTTAATTTCTGAAGCCAGAAATATGAAGGGATTTTATAATGGCTTGTGAGTATTAGGTGGGGAAGATTAGGACCACTAATGAAGAGCTACTGTCTTAGGAGAAGCCTCATCACCATGCATAATTGTTTCCAGGCTACTTGGAATGAACATGGAAATGAACCCCGGGCTGGCTTGAACTTGGTGTGACATCTCAGAATGTCTGCCTTGGTTATACTTGGAGTTGGTTTCTGGTTTACGCTTCCATTTTAGAACATGTTATCCATTTGTAAGAAGTACAAGTCTTTTATTCTATTTCCATCTCTCCTCTCTTTCAACCAGCCATTGGAAATGCTATCTATTCTACTGCCAATAATTTTTTAGGTTGTGCTTTTACATAAATCTAGTGGTATCTGGGTTCTACTATTGCAGCAGACACTTTGCACAATTGGTGCATGGCAAGTTTGGGGTACAAAGGACAAGCTCCTGTCAGACTGAACACCCAAATTTCCCCTGCATTCCAAGCCAATTTCAGTGACTTCGAGATCCCATGTAAGTTTCTCTCCTTTTCCACGCTTTGGTAATTGGGCTGGCTGAAGACTCTCAGGCGTCCTTGAATGTTCTAAAGTGCCCTTCACCGTGGCCTCTCATTATAGCAGAGAGGCAGGAAAGGCACTGGTACTTCTTGAGAGCCACCACTCTGTGTGCCAGGCACTTTATATACTTTAACTCATTTAGTCCTCCCTGCAGCCTATTACACAGAGACGGACTGTACTTCCATTGGCAGATGTGGAAATTGAACTTCCAGGAGGTTAAATAGGTCCGCCCAAGTTCTCAGCTGAGGTCTATCACCCACCATGACGTTAGCTGTGCCACACAGGGCGGCTCCACTGAGGGACCTCTGCAGTGGTGGCAGCCACTGCAGAGAAGGTGGTCCTCTTCCTAATACACACAAAGATGACACTATGCTGCAGTGGCCCTAAGAAAAACCCAGATCTGTCTGATGTTCAAGGCTGTTATCTTTCTTCCAGTCAGTGCTGCTTCCCCCAGGACCGCTGGGTTCGAACCAGGAGAAGCACTTTAAACACCCAGCAGCACCAGCCAGAAAAAAACTGCGGCCAAACAAGAGCAGAAGATGGTCCACCACTCCCATTAGATGCTACCTCGCTGTAGTAGATGGTTTTGTGACAATGGTGGTGATTTCCCTCCCCTGTATCTACAATGGGATTGATAACACATCAAGGAACAGAATTATTTCTCCACCCTCTGACCCTTGGCTGGGCCCTTGGTACACGGTGGCCAGCAGAGTGCTGCGGAAATGCTGAGCCCTTGAGAGCTCCTGCAGATCCATTTGCTTCCTGGGAACCTTCCAGGCCAACAAATAAATAAGCACAGGAAAGCCTCACTAGAGAATGAGAGACTACCTGGAGCAGAGATGAACCAGGTAGAGGCCATCCCAGGTCAACCAACCACAGATGCATGATTGAGCTCAGCCCTGATGTGCCAAGTCTGGCTGATTGGAAGAACTGTCCGGTTGACCCATGACCTAACTCAAGGTTGTTTTAAGGCATTGAATTGTGCAGTAATTTATTACACAGTGTCATGTTTAAATTTATGTGTCAACCTGGAGGGTGTTTTTGGATGAGATCAACACTTACAATGGTGAATTTGGGGTAAAAGAGACTGCCCTCCAAATTTAGGCAGGCCTTATCTAATCAGTTGAAGTCAACTAAATAATAGAACAAAAAGAACAGCTACCCCCAGCAAGAGGCAATTCTCCAGCAGACTGCCTTGGACTTCATCTGTACCATCAGCTCCCTGGGGTCTCCACTTGTGGGTGTTTACACTGAACCTGCACCATTGGCCCTCCTGAGTCTTGAACCTCCTACTTCACTCTGTAGATTCGTACTAGCCAGCCCCCATAATTGTGTGAGCCAATTTCTTATAATAAATTTTTGGGTATCTTTGAAGAAGATACACTATAAAGAACTGATTCATTCTATTGCTCTTTGTCTAGAGAATCCTAATACACACAGCAAATGATAGAATTGCTAATAAAGTTGACCTCTGTACTGAGTTAACCGTTTCTGTCCCCAACCCCCTAGCTGCTGAGCCTCCTGACCTTGAGCCCTTCTGCCTGCTATGGAGATGGATCAGTCTGTTTCTCTGTCCCAAAATACCCACACACCTACCTGGAGCCATGGATTTGCCTCCATTCCTGCCAGATCCCTGATGTTATCACCTGGAGACTCTAGTTACCTACCCTGGCCAAGGGAATGGATGGGGACCTGACCGGGGTCTTCTGGTTCCCTTTTAGATTCAGGATAATTCCACTACTCCCACCCTTCCCTGATGGGAAGTGACCAAATCCTCCTAGAGGGGACTGCAGGGAGGGGACTAGGGTGGCATCAGGCAGCTCTCACATGCCCTGGCTGTCTCTTCTTTCTCAAGTCTGGAGAGGAAAGCCAGTACCCGTGAAGTCACAGTGCCATGGGCTTACTTCCCTTTATGGAAGGGCCTGGCCCCAATCTTTCCAAATATGATTTGCCCCAGGAACAAAGACCTTGGCTTCCTGGAGCAGCATCCTTGACTTTCCCTGGCTGCCTAACATGTGCAAAGGAGCCCATGCAAGGCAGGCACTTTTCCTATTCCCATGCCTTGTTCTCCTGGGGCAGTAACGTTCCCTCCACTCCTTCCATCCTGTAATATCAAACTACAGGCAACAGGAGTCCGAACCACCCACACCAGGGCAGTAAAGATGGGTCAAGGTTCTGGAGCCGTGCCTGGACTGTGGGCAGCTGTGTCTTGGTAGAGGGCACACTAGCAAATGAAGCCTTCCTGCTTCCTTCTTGGATACCTCGTTTTGGAAGTTGAAAATCCAAGATCAGAGTTCCCCATCTTCTGTCCAGGTTTTGGTGAGGGCTTCATGGTGGATGGCATTATGGCAAGAACACATGTGAGAGGGAGAGATGACGTGACATGGTGAGTCAGGAGACAGAAGGCCATAGAGTGAGGAAGGACCAGGCTTGCTCTTTTGCAACAACTCATTTATTTATTTATTTTTTTAACCCAGGGGTGCTTAACCACTAAGCCATATCCCCAGCTCTTTTTTTTTTTTTTTAATCTTTTATTTTGTGACAGGGTCTCACTAAGTTGCTTAGGTTGACCTCAAACTTGTGATCTTCCTGCCTCAGCCTCCCACGCTACTGCAATTATAGGCATACACCACAATACCTGGTCTAACAACTTATTCTTACAGGAAGTAACTGGGGTCCCACAAGAACTATGGTTACTCATTTTGGAGCAGCACCTGCATGACCCAGTTACCTTGCACCAATCCCACCTGTTAAAAGTTCCACTCCCTCCCAACACTGCCACACCGAGGACCAAGCCTCTAGCACATGAACCTTTGGGGGACACACTCAGACCATATCCAACCATAGCACCTGAATACTGGGCCTCGGGTCTCCTAGTCATGGCTTCTTCCAGCAGCTGTGCCATACACTGGCAGCTTTGGTCCCCAAGGAGATGACACTGGTTATGGTGGGCTATGGCAAATGTAGCCCATAGAACAGTGCAGCCACCATGGAGGACAGTTTGGCAGAATCTCAAAAAAATTAAACATACACTTATCATATAATCCTGCTTCCAGGCATACATCCAAGAGATTAAAAAGCTGGGACTCGAACAGATATTTGAATGCCCATGTTTATAGATCAGCATTTTCACAGTAGCCAAAACATCCTTGAATGGACCAGTGGATAAACAAAATATAATATGTATTTTAAGTGGAATATTATTCAGCCTTAAAGAGGAAGAAAATCCTGATACATACTACTGCATGGATGAACTTTGAGAACATGCTAAATGAAACAACTCAGAGACAAAAGGACACATATTGAGTGATTCCATTTATATGTAGTACCTAACAGGCAAACTCATAGATGTGAATGTAGAGTGGATATTGCTAGAAGATAGATGGAGGGGACATAGGGAATTATTGTTTAATGAGTACAGAATTTCAGTCTGGGATATGGAAAAGTTTTGGAGACAGAATGTGGCAATATTGCACAACAAAGTGAATGTACTTCTGGAGCAACCTGGTCTCAGTGTGTAAGAACTGGCCCAAGGTGCCAGGAGATTGAAAAAAGAGGCAGAAAAATCTAGAACTGTGGAGTGTAATTTATTAGGGGACTTTCTGAGAGGAGCATGGTCCTGGGCAGCAGCAACTGTGGGTCCCCGCAGTTTGGGTCAGAAGTGACTTCATCCTAACCGGAATGGGCCTGGTTTATCTTAAGCTAGTATCAAAGAGTCAGGCACATTCCTGGTGCCAGGGTCCAGTTGTAAAGCTCCACATACCACTCTAATGGTTTTGTCTATTTATAGTGTGCTGGGAAACTATGCAGGAAAAACCAACTAGGGCCGTCACAACTCAAGATGGCTGCGGCCCTGTCAAGCTAAATCCAGAGAGTACTTAATGCCTCTGAATTGTTCCTTCAGAGAAGATTGAAATTTTATGTTATGTATATTTTACTGCAATAAAAAATTTAAAAGTGGCCAAGTATAGAGTTAAGAAAAAGGGGGTTTTCTACCATGGATATCTGTGTCTGCTTTTTAATGTTACCCACAACTTCCTGCGTCCTACTGGTAAACCTACATAATAGTCAAGGCCTTCTGGTTAACACTTAACCTGTATCATACCATTGTGGTTGTTTTAGTCAGGTTTTTTTCTTTTCTTTTCTTTTCTTTTTTTCATTTCTGTGACCAAAAGACCTGACAAGAACAATTTTAGAGGAGGAAAAGTTTATTTGGGGGCTCACAGTTTCAGAGATCTCAGTGCGTAGACAGCTGGCTCCATTCCTAGGGGCTCGAGGTGAGGAACATCATGGCAGAAGTATGTGGTGGAGCAAGGCAGGTCAGGACAGGGCCACCAAGAATCAGAGAGAGAGAACTTCACCCTTCAGGGACTAAATATGCACCACAAATACACGCCCCCAGGGACCCACCTCCTCCAGCCTCACCCACCTGCCAACAGTTACCAGTTAATCCCATCTGGGGATAAATGCACTGATTGGATAAGGCTCTCACAACCCAGTCATTTCACCTCTAAATCTTCTTGCATTTTACAACACATGAGCTTTTTGGGAACACCTCATCTCTAAACCATAACAGCGGTAAAAACAGAACAGAGGCCCTGGCCTCCAAGGGCTCACCAGCAAAAGTGCAGCTCTTTTCTGTAAGCATTCCCCTCTCTCCACACCGCTCTTAGGAAAAAGATGAAGCTCTCGTTTACTCTTCCTATCTCACCAGTATGTCTCGGAGCAACTCACCCTGAAGCAACTCACCTGTGTTCCCTTTCAGCCTCAGTGAGCTTTCTATCCCTCACTGCCAATGTTCTTTCCTGCTTAGAACACATCCTCCTCCCCTCTGCTTAAAATTCACATCCTTCAGAGTTCAGCTCAACTGTCACTTCCATAGGCAACATTTCCTCACCTCAGATCAAGCTAAATTCCCCTGTCACATACTCTTAACACCATATTCTTCCCCTTCTTTTGATTAAACTTCTGTCCACCCCCCCACCCACTGGATGATGATATACTGGAGAATAGGGACCTTCTCAGTTTTCTCATCATTGAACCATATATCTGTAATGGGTGCAGCACTTACTCAGTAAGCACCTTGTATCAGTCAGCTTTCTGTTACTATAACAAAATACCTGAGATAAACAAACTTTTAAGAGAGAAAGATTTATTTTGGCTTATGGGTTTTGAGGTTTCAGTTCATGATTGGTGGGCCACATTCCTTCTGGCCCGAGGCAAGGCAGATCACCATGATTGTGTGGCAGAGGAAGCTGCATGCCTCATGGCTGCTGGGAAGCAGAGAGAAAGAGAATGGCTTAGGGTTCCCATGTTCCCTTCAAGGCCATGTCCCCAATGACCTAATTTTCTTCTACTAAGTCCCAATTCCTAGTAGCACCACAGTTGGGGACCAAGACTTCAACACATGAGATTTGGGGGGGGGACAGTCACCTAAATGTACACCTCAATCATTATTTCATAATGAATCCCGGAGTGAGAGAATGCAAAATGATGAATAATACCTAAGTTAAAGGTTCTTCTCCAGTTTAAAAGTAAAGGATGCAGTGACCTGTTCAACACTACACTCTTCTATGTAAGGCAAATTGAGATTAGTCAGAAGCAAGAGATGGAATGCATTTTAGATTGACAGTAAAAGGAAAGCTATTCAAGGTAGCAGTGTTTTTTTTTCTTACTGTACTGCATATTCTATGCTGATTTTTTAAAATTATTATTAGAATCGCAGTTTGAAACTAGAATGACACTTCTTTTAATTTTCTCACACTGGTAGTCATTGATCTGCATTCATATCTTAAGAGGAAATGCCATTGAATTCAGGAGAAGTATATTTAACCTGCATGGTATTCAAAAATTACTGGAAAAGCTTAGCTCCCGTACACTGTGCCGGTGACCTTGCTAAGTAGGTATGTTAAACACTTAAATGTATAATTTTCTTTGGGCGCTTTCGGTAAAAACATTCTTTCTTCTTTTTCACGTCTTCCAGCAAACCTCATTATCCTTCTTGTGACCCTGCAGGCATCTCATTTTCTTTTGGCGTGTTTGCAAGTTTTAAAATATTAACTGCATCTCCTGCCTCAGGAAGGGTTGCTTGGCTACTACTCTACATTTTTAGAATGTGAATTCTTTTACTTCACCATCGCTACCTTGAATAAAGTAGTTTAATGCATTTTCATAGAAGCCAGACATAATTAAAATCGCTTATCTTTATTAAGTACAGTAATCATTCTCATTTGGAAGACCAAGGGGAATATACACGGGAGAATATGTATTAGTTTTGAATACTGTTGAAAGTAAATTAAAGTAAGGTCACAAGGTGTCAGTCACCATGGAATTGGTGGAAGGTGCTGCTGTATGTGGGATACCAGCTTTTAAGAAAGGTAGAAATAAAGAAGAGTAAAATAAGAGCAAGGATGTCCAAGAAATGGGCTATTCGTTTTGTTTGTCATCTTTGTAAACTAGAAACACATAATGGTAAAACTCTGAAGCTGATTGAAGTCTAATGCTGAACAAAAATGATCTCAACAAAATGTGTTCTGACTTTATTTTTTTTTTTTTATTATTCTTGTGTAGTAAATCCCAGGATTGTACTTGCCTCTGGGTAGAAGGGATCATACTGCACAAAACACCCCTGCTCCTGGGGACTTTGAATGTTATGTAAATGAGCACTGAAAGGCATTTGTCTGCTCTAGCAGTTCTCAAGGTGGGCTTTCACTGTGGGATGTTAAAAGAGATTCCAAAGGGGCTGGGGTTGTAGCACAGTGGTAGAGTGCTTAACTAGCAGGTGTGAGGCCCTGGGTTCGATTCCCCTAAATAAAAATAAATAAAAATAAAGGTCCAGCCACAACTAAAATAATAAAAATATATATAAAAAAGAGAGACTCCAAAAGGACTTCTCAGGGCCTTTAAAATAGTAATAAATACTTAGAGTTCTAAGAATGGGGCCTATTATTAAGTGGTTCCCAAATTCATTCAAAGATCACATCTTTGGTGTCTTTGTTTGTTGTTGTTTTTACTTTGAAGTTGTGCTTCTGTTTTTGGAGAAACCACAAGTGAACTTGTGAATCTAGTATAGACTGGAACTTGCTCTGGAAAAGGCTGACATTAAAAAATAGAGGCATGTCTAGAATTTAAAGAATTTTAGAAATCTCTTCATGAAATATTCACTAAGGGCTTAAATCACTGAGAAATGGCATGAGTACACCCCATACCAGTAGCTCTATAATCCCAAGGCTCTTTACAGCATCAAAATTTCTAATAGCCCCAAAGTGAAACAGTCACCCAATGTTCATCAGATCATGAATGGACAAAATGTGGTGTTTATTTCATTAGAAGGAATGAAATACTGATACAAGCTACAACCTGGAAGAACTTTGAAAACACTATCAAATGAAAGAAAAGATACAAAAGGCCCCATATTGTATGATTCATTGATTGGAAATGTCCAGAGTAAATTCACAGATACAGAAAAGCACATTAGTGGTTGCCAGGGATTGGAAGAAGAGGAGAATAAGGAATGATTGCTAATGAGTATGAGATGTCTTTCAGGGATGAAAATCTGGAGGTAGACAGGAATGATTATCTTATAGTCTTGTTAATATGCTAAAAAAAATACCACTGGACTGTGCACTTTCAAAAATTTTTATATTTCAATTAATAAATAATACTGGTTAGGGGTGTAGCTCAGTGGTAGAGTTTATGCTTAGTATGTGTGAGGCCCTGGGTTCCATTCTTAGCACCAGAAGAAAAAAAAAAAAAGAAAAGAAAAAAAGAGAAATCCAGCACGCTACCATAATACATGTTTATCTTTCATATTTTAGGAAAAGAAAACAACACAACTATTTCTTGTCAACAAGTATATTTAATGAAGGTACTAGAGGTTATTTACAGAAGATATACATACATACAATTCCTACACATTAAATGTAGTCTTATTGTGAAAACAGAAAAAAAATGTACTCCAAAATTACATACTAAATAAAATAAATAAAAAGTAATTATTTGGCACAATATCTATTATGTAGCAAATAAATAATTCTATACCATTGATTGGATGAACTATTTACAATCTATTTGAAAGTGCAAAACAATTGTTGAAAATTAAGATATTTGTAATAACATTTAAATCCAGAAAATATGTTATTTTTTTTTAAATCAGTAACAATAAATTTGTAGCTGAAAGGTTGTTTGTTTTTTAATGCCCAGGAAAATATTTTAATTTTGAAAAACATTTTGTGCATATTGTGCTCTTCGGAAATGTTATTTTTTATCTTAACGCTGGCAATTTTAAGAACCTTGGTGTTACTGAGTTGGAATTCTTATATAAGTAATCCTGATTTGTAAATTTAAAAAAGATACATTGTAAACATAAATATCATTCTATCTATCATTCAGAAATTACAGACCAGTCCTCTCTAAATTACATAAGTAGCCATAATGTTTTATAGTAGTGTGGTCAGGTTCTGTTCCTTAAGAGGTAAGATCATGTGGATGGAAGAATACAACCTAGCATGTGGACTTTAACAGATTCCTTAACACTTTGCCCAAACCCCATACTCCAAATCAAGATACTGAATTAAAAAGGATGAAACTACATCACCACTGATGTGTCCAAATGGATCCCATTGGTAGCACATTTTGCACTGTAAACATTCTCAGAAGAAACGTCAGGAGCTTGAGATTCCCCTTGAGAGCGGTGTTTCTACTGAGCTCTTCATTTGGGTCTTATGAAGATGGCACAACTGGAAATGAAACAGGGTGACTACACTGGGGGTTTCTAAGCTAGTGTGTGTAAGCTTTATGCAAGTCAAATCATTTCTTCTCTTCTCATGTAGTCAGTAAGCTGAATGCAGCCCTGAGATGTCTCAGGATGTGATTTTGCTTGTTTTGTAGAATTCTCTAGTGGTGATACAGTCAATGGTAGCATAAAAGGCATTTTTTGAAAGATTGTGGACTGGAGACAAATCATTGCTTGGGGCACTTTAGATGTCTATGGCCTACGGGGCTCTAATCGGTGTGACATCTGTGATAAAGTTCTCTGGTTGTCAATCACATTTAATTGCCGGACATAACTCCGGACATCCTGATGGTTCTTATTAGCTTGCGCTGCATCAGGATCTGTTGGAAGAAGAGGAGAAGAATTGGCATTGCAAAATATATGCATATAGATACAGCTTTATTTTCCCCATTGACTTATTACACTTATCACAGATTCCTGGGTTCTGTCAAGACCTTTCAACATACCACATTCACCGGAATATTTTTACTTGCTTGTTCCATCTCCTCTCTTCTATCCTCCAATCTTCTTTTCTTCCCTGGAATCATCTCTTTTGATCATTTCCCTTTGTATTGCATATTGTTTTTTTAAAAAAAGAAGAAAGGGCACAAAAAAGCAGGGGGAGGGGGAGCATCTGTCTGATAGCCCCTGCTGACAGATGAAAACTGTTTCCCCTAACCACCCCACCTCTGTGTCTCACTCTGTCTCTTCCTCTTTTGATCCAGATGAGGGTTAATGTCAAAAGACAATTTTATTAGCTCATCGCAAAAGTACTTTACCACCTGGACCAAACTGAAGGAAGCCAGAGAGATTATCAGGTCATGACTGTCCCCTTCACTTGCAGGCAGTACACAGCAATGCTATGCAGATTTTGTTCTTACAAAGTGTCCAGCTTCATAGAAAACCACAACTTATGACTTCTACCAGACTTTCAATTCTGAGGCTGCTTGTTCTGAAAACCCAGTTACCACTCTATTGTGATCCAAGCATGTGAGCTTCTGGGCTATCAAAGAGGTTAACTGATTTCATTCAAACCAGAGTGGGAAGGAAACCCCATGCCTACAGCCCTGTGCAGACATTATATGAGAATGAGGAAGGCCACACTTGATAATGCTGAACTAGAAGCACAGGTCCCTTGGGAAGTGACTACTAAGCTCCCAAATATCGCTTCCCTGTGGGAATCTGTGCCCAGAGTTGCTAGATCTTTCTTTTCTTTGTCTTTCTTTCTTTCTTTTTTTTTTTTATGAACAGGAAATCTGAATTTTTTTCCATGAGAATTCCTTCAATTCTTAAATGGTGACATTTCAAAATGAAAGGGGAAAATGCTATTTTGATCCAACACCTCTGCTGTGGTCCATGAGCTACCTCCTTCCCATGGCTTGAGGACTTTGGTCTAGTTGGACACTGAGAGTGGTCAAATAGGAGTCTGAACTGCTGGCCAGGGGTCTGTCCCCACCATAGTACACTACTTTCTGCAGCCCAGTTGCTCCTGTTAATCTACCCACCATTCCCCAAGACAATTAGAATGCCATCTGCATATGGAGTGAAGGGGAGTATTGCAGGTCTGAACACAGAAAAGCAGAGAGAAGATACAAAGGCCCCTACCCGCTGTAAGAAGAAACTCATCAGTATAATTATCACATATAAATAATACCACAGTGAACTGCAGAACACATTGTGCTTAATTTCCTCCGCTTCTCACTGGCAGTGTACTCTACATGTACAATATACTGTAATTACATTGTACATATTCCCACAATGTTTATGAATCTATTCCTATAGCTTTATCTATAGATTGTTGACTTCAGAGCTGAGCAGCTGTTGTTTACCAGCAGTCACTGATAACTTCAACAAATGCAGTGGAGAGTTTTTAAAAAAATAATTTCCTTCCACTTCTCTCAGAGAAGACATAGGAGAATGTAGAATTTATTTCCAAAGGGGCTCATGTAACAAAGCAGATTCTATCATGGTTCTTCTTTGGTTCTTAAACCTCACTGAGAACCTGTGAAGATCATGAACCCTCTCAGGCAAACAGGAGTTTGCATATAATTTTAGGAATTTCCTGGACCCCTGAAGGATCATGGATTCTAGATGATAAGCCCCTCCTCTACGTGGTATTTCTCATCTAGTCTCATTTCACTTGCACAACTGCTTTAAGACTGTGTTTTTATACATAGTGAATCAGTACAGGCAAAGATAGGAGGCATTTTAAACCTGGTAGAATCCACATAGGAATAGTAGATGATATGCAAGACAAGTTTCATTTTGGAAGTCAGAGAAGGCACAATCATTTGAATTAACTTTTTTCAAGGTCTAATATCTCCCATTATCAAAATTACTTGCCCCAGATTTTCCCCCACTGAACACCAAAAAAAATGGCATCCCATGTTGCCAAACTCTGGCTTTGGACCAACTCTGTACTGCAAAGAACTAGAAGGTTCTTGCTTTATTAAACTTTCTGTTTAATAAAGCAAGAACTTTCTAGTCTCTTGGCATTATGCCTATGGGAGAGAATGGTTCTGGTAAGCTTATAGTCAGACCCACATCATCTTATCATATTGTATTAACAAGCCAAATTTCTTCAAATGACTCATACAATAACGTTAGCAAAAAACTTCACAGGGTCCACCTCCTTACTCCCAAACAAGATTGAGGGGGCCAAAGCTTCGCCCCCTCACCCAAAACACCAATCCAGAGGAGACCGCAGCACTGGTGCTACGATACAACTCAGCTCCTGACAGATTACAATTGTCACATATCATTAGTGATATTTTTATGCATACGAAAGCATGGCATTATACCAATTCTTGTGATACATGTTCACATTTTCAAAGAGCACCTCAAATTCCCTCCGATACTCCAAATAAAAAATCCTGCCAGGGGACTTTTTACAAAAGTGCTATAAACATGAATGTATTCTTGCAACACCCTGAGAAACAATAAATAATATCTTCCCCAGTTTATAAATGAAAGAATTGAGTCATCAAGGGTTGATGTTGCTGTGAGTTTCTCAACATCAAGCAATGAGTCACACAGAGAGCTGGTTGGAGGCACTTTGTTGGCTACTGTGTCCTAGTTGTTTCTAGCCATACTGGAAAAAAGCAAGTTGATTCTCTTTAAATCCATTCACAACATAGTATTCCTTTGGTTGTTTTCTAGTTTTACAACAATGTAAATATATTTTTTTTAGTTTTACAACAGCAGAACAAAGACCTTCAACCCAAAGCCCAAGTTGCAAGGAATTCATGGTCCAAAGTGCCTCTGACACAATCAGACACTGTCCAGACTACTACAGTGTCTCAGTGGGCTCATTAAAAAGGACTTAATCACCAAGATCTCCATTGTGGCGTGTAGCAGCACTGAACTTACTGAAGGGCTGGCTCCTGTAGTACCTCACTGTTCTGGCAGTGTTTGCAATCATTCGCTAAGAGGAAAAAAACAGAAAAAGAAAAAAGAAGACAGAAATGCAAGTCAGCTTAGTGTTTAATCCAAAAAGGAAAACAAACCATTATTTATTTTGTCTATGCTTGGTATCATCAGAAACAGGATGTTCTAAGACGTCGACTATCTGAAGAGCTTGTTGATGTATAACGTTCGTTTTTAATGACTTTAAAGGGCACCCATATTCTGAGGCACTGGGCATTTTCAGGTAAGGAATATTAATAGCCTAACTCCGTTCTCATTGTTTGCTTCTTCCCTACAATGTAAAAGCATTCCTGAGACTGTAAATTAATGCTCAGAAATAGTTTTCATCATCTTAACAATGGCCAATGTGAATTTGTAAGAGAACTATCCCAGATTTGAAAGAGGATTAGTTTGTTAAGTTTCTCATAGTAAATAGGCTTCAGTAATGAAGTATTAGATTATATGCACTGAATGGTAAGTTCAAGTATTCTCCATATATATTTTTTTAATTAGTTGTTGATGGACTTTATTTATTTATTTATTTACATGTGGTGCTGAGAATCGAACCCAGTGCCTTGTACATGCTAAGCAAGCGTTCTATCACTGAGCCACAACCCCAGCCCTCTCCATATAAATTTTTGTCACATACTGTGCATTCTGACCTTCCTAGTATTCCAGCAAAACTATATATTTCAATGTTAATCCTGATTGTCTTACTTTCTTCTTTCTTTGCTTTTACTTTCTTTCTAATCATAATACAAACATATGCATGCTTTAGGAAACCAGAAAAATATCAGGACAAAGTAAAAAACATTTAGAATATTACTTCACAGAGTAAACTCATTAATATTTTGGTACATTTACTTCCAGCATTTCAGAAATGAATATGTAAAATCACATTTAGAAAATTAAAGTCATACTGTGTATACATACATTATTTTGGCTTGAATTTTCTACATTGCATTGTGATCATTTTCCATGTTATTTTCATTTCAAAACATTTTTTAAATGAGCATGCATTCCATCAAATGGACCGATCATAACATATTTAAACTTTGTTAATTTTGTCATCAAGTGATCTTAATTTCTTTGTAGAGTTTGGTTTGCAACAAAGAATAAAAAGGAGTCTTTATGCTGAAGTCAATTAAACAAAAGGGGGAAAAATGAAAATGAAGGACAGAAACAGAGAATCCTCAATCTCTGTGGAAAAACACTGGTGAGACCCAAGAACCATTTTTTTAAAAAATCAAGATGTATATTTCTTGCTCACAATATTTTAACAATAGCTGGGCCCCCCATCCCTGGCCTGTTTGAAGACACCTTCACTGCCCAGATTCTATGGAGTATTCTGTAGACATAGTGGATTAATTAAAACATTAGCAGAAAATTGTTAAGGCTCCACCCAGGGGAAGAGACTCCTCAATTTCTGAGAGGTTGTATAATTTCAGTTTTCGTTTTCTTCTCTCACAGATCCTTGGCTTACTAACGTAAAAGAAAATGACTTTGAGGAAAACTTATGTAGTATAGGAAAAAAAACATAGAAAAGTCAAGGCCTTACAAATATATACATGTGAGCATCAAAATACCTCGCTGAATACCAGTGCTTTGTAAGCATGACATGACCCACGTCTACACTGGATGATTTCTCTCACACAAAGAAGCAATCGAAAAAGTTTGAACTTCACTTTCATAAAGAATCCTAAAAACCAGAACGTCTGTTGATCAGCATGAAAAATATATTACAAATACCTCCAAGAAAATGCAACATACAATGTATAATTAGCCTCTGATATATGGAGCCCTGAAATAAACAGTAACTATGATAATTTCCCTGCTAATTTACTTTAAGTTGTTTTTTCACTTCTCGAAAGGCTTTGCATCTGAAGGGCACAAGTATATTCCATGTAGAATTATTGTAATTCTTCAGATATTGAATGGAGTGTAATTACTGAAAACCCTGGGAAATGCTGCCAGTGTGCCCCTCTGAAGAATAATAAAACAATTAGCAGGGGTCAGAAACCTCTTCCTATACCATTCTGTAGGGAGTAATTGTTCTGCTTTTTAGTTTTGAAAGCTAAAACATTTCATTCTGACTTCGGCTTTAGACTACTCTTTATAGCTATACTCCCAGGCTTCATAATTTTTAGCTCATTATGTAGTTTAAAATGTGAGAACAATTGTTTAAATCAGTAATTTCCAGCTCTGAAGTTCATTCTACCTTTCTAAATCTTTGATTAATTTTAACAATGGTTTTAATTTTGACGTATCCTTTTTTAATTGTACTCAAAGATAACTTCAGCTTAACTTCAAAATCCAAATCTGGCTTTACAACGAGGTCCATTCTCTTCCTTTGTGAGGTCTAGACAATAGTGTTTAATGGTGTGAACCTACAGTAGCTACGCGGGAACCCCGCTAGCATTGCTGGTCAGTGCATGGTTACAGAACACTCTCAGGAGGCCATAGAAGGGTTAAACTGATATTTTAACCCACACCTTTTTGCACCCATTACACATGCAATATCTAATATGCTATTGAGATTTCAGAAGTCATCTCCAGGGTGCACTGTGCCTTCCATAGCTGCCTATAAACTGTGTCTTACCACTGAATGTATCCTACAATGGGGACTGCATGACCTCTAAGGACAGCCTTTTTTGTTTATAGAGACTTCTTATTTCTATAAATTTATTATTTTGAGTCAAAATCTTTCTCCCTTCACTTTTCACTCATTGATCCTAGTTCTGAGTTTTGGAGTCATAATAAGTTTAGTCCCTTTTTAAGAAGTCAGTTCTTCAGATACTTAAAGTCAACTCTTATAGATATCTTCCTACCCCAGGTGTTTTCTCCAATAGTTCATTTTTTTTTTTTTTTAACAATTCTTCTTAAGACACCTTTGGTTCTCTTTTGGACAGGCTCCAATGTAATGCCTAAGACTGAACTAATTGTAGAGTGGAGAGAAATGATCTTCCTTTGTTCCTTGACTTAGCTGATTCTATCTAAGTTCATAATTAAAAAAAAAAAAAAAAAAACAGCACCACCACACACACCCCCCATATGACTGACATCTGTGGAACTAACAGGAATGAAACCTCTTGGTCTGCTTCATTCAGCTGCTGTGTGGAGGCAGCTTCCTGCTCTGAAGTTGACTCTGTGGATCAAAGCAGAGGATCTTACATTTATCTCCACTAAAATCTATCTAGGGTCTCCGCATCTTTCTGCAGACTAAGCCCCATGTGCTGTCTTTGATGGCAGACGACTATTTCTTCATTGGTGTTCTCAATCAAGTTTGGCCGAAACCAAGGTTAAAGAGAGGTAGGCTTCATCATCCAACTGCCGCAACAGGAACGGAGCCAAAAATTACACCCTAGGCTCAGAGATCCTGCCACAGCAGGTTGGCCCGCCTGGAGCCGGCCAGGCAACTCTCTATAATGCTAGGCCAGGGGGAAGTGCCTGATTACTCCAAAGTAGAGCTTCTCATCTTTTTTTTTCCATCCCAGCAAACCTGAGGTTGATGACACACACTCCCATTAGCAACTGGCTCGTTACGACAGCAATCGGTAATTCAGGGGTGAATGTGGGGTGAACATGATCCTTTAAAAGATGCTTCCAGTCGGTGTAGAGGGCAGACTACCTCTACACCGAACCCTTTTCGCCACCCCTGAACTGATTTTTCCTGGGACTAATTCTAAGCCTAGGTCTTCAGATCTTGTTTGCCAAAATTAATGTTTTTGCAGTTCCTGGCCTACTGGGGTGAGGGATGGGCCCAATTGATGGCTGATGAATTTCCCTTAGGACATGCACTCCGGAGGAAAGTGCACAAGGGGAAGATGAGGTAATGAGTGGAGAACTCTGTGACCACATTCATGTGTCTATTTATTTATATCTATAGCTGAAGACACAGTGACTCTGAAGCAGATGTCCTTCCTGGGGCCTGAGATGCTGTGTGACCTGTCCAAAGGTTCAGTACAAAAAAAAAGGGGGGGGAGACTGGGTGTGTGTGGCTTGGTGGTACAGTGCTTGCCTAGTATGTGTGACCACATAAAAATAAATAAATAAAATAAAATTAAGGTATTGTGTCCATCTATCTACAACTAAAAAAAAAAAAAAAAAAAAATTTAAAGTGGTGGCGGGGACATCAACTGCTGCCTGCACTCCAGGCCTGAGCCTCCATTCCTGGAGCTCTGATGTAGGCAGTTCCCTTCCAATCCAATGAGGTGTTACAAGTGCTTCTTCTCCCACTGGGGCTCTGTGACCTTTCTGTAGCACTACCCCTCAGGAGCAGGCTGGCCAAGTCATACCTGCACTGCCACCCAGATGTCAATAACAGAACTCTATAGCTCTGGGCCTTCCTGCCCTGCTCCTGCTGATTCTTGTTTCCCCTTACTCTCCTGCTGCTGAGGTGCAGGCTTTTATGTCCACCTTTCAAGGTCAGACCAGCAGCCCTCCAGGCATTGCCACCTTCCACTGCTGCACTCCAGACATGGCCAGAACAGCCTCCCTCTGCTCAGGCTACTCTGCCTCTCTGCTCGAGTCCTGGAGGAGCTGCTCCTGAACCTCAGCCCTCTTCTAACTACAGCTTTGAATTGTTTTTGTCTTTCCTTCTGTTGACCTTTAAGATCTTGACCATTTCTGTTCTTAATGTTTCCCAGATTGCTTTTTCTTTTCTTATATTTCTATTCCTACTGATTTGATTCCCTTTCCATCTCTCTTTCTATCAAATACAGCATCTCTGCCAATTATTCCTAGCTTAGTATGTGTAAAACCTCATCTTATCACATCTGATTATTTCTCTCCAACCTCACATATTCACATATTTGAGACAAGAATTTTTTTTTTCCTACAAGATAGAAAAAAATAAATTCTCTCTTCTACAAAGATTGTGCCCATGATAGCAACCAAATGGAAGTGCACAGTAGGGACTAGAGATAAAAGGGACCCAGAAGCTAAACCAGCTCTCACTGTATGCATCATTGAAAAAGGAGCCTGAGCCCTGTCCCCAGCTGTGGGTCTTTAATACATAAGGGGCATGTGACGGATACATATGTGTAACACAGGCACGATGGTCATGGTGTATCATATATTTGATGGTATGGGACATGGCAGTTCAGTGCCTGTCTAGTCACATGTGGTATATATGCATATATCTTCACTCGGGGAGGGATACTAAAGAGCAGGCACAGCATTTCGGGGAGGAGAGGAGACAGAATAATACCCAGAGAGCACCAGAAGGCTGGGGAAACGTAACCTCGAATCGAGTCTCAGTTATTGCAAAATGCTTTGGGTCACCTTGGTTAAGTAAATTTTCTAATAAAATAGACAAAAAAAAAAAAAAACTACTTGGATTCCATTTTTTAAAAATAGAAATCTTTTAAAAAATGCTTTAGTGGACTGCCCTTCCTAAGCCTGACACTGGTGTTTAATTGGGTGATTCCTATATTCAACAAATATTTCTTGCCTACTTACAACGTATCAGACACACTCGTGGGTGCTGGAGAAATCTCAGTGGACAAAACAGGTAAGATACCTGATCCAGGGCACTTACATTCTTAGTGGAGACGACAGATGATGTAAACAAGATCATCTTGGATCATGAGCCCAGCTATCAAGCTGAGGTTATCTATCAGAGTGAGCTGGGTGTGGGCGAAACAGGGAAGTGGGTGGTCAGGAAAGATGACAGAGGAGAGGACATGAGCTGAGCCCTGAACCACGGGGTTGAGGCAGGTAAAGACTGGGGGAAGAACATATCAGGCAAAGGTGACAGCTAGGGCAAAATCCCTGAGGCTGGAAGGAAGAGAAAGAAGGCCAGTGTCTCCAACTTGGACTGAACACAGAGGAAACAGGGTGTGAGATGAGGCAGCAAGTCTGGGTTTTATCTGTTACTATACGTAACATGGTTTGATTACTATTACATCTGCATGAACTTCTCTGTCCTGTATTTTGCTTTTTGACTTGTCTTTCACTATTTCTGTGACCTAGTTTTTCTAATTTTCGTTGATGTTTTTGTTGGTGTTTAATATTTCACATTTTATCTTTTCAACTGCCTGTAATCTCATGAAGGACAAGGATAACTTTCTAGATATATTTATGTTTGCTAGTGAAAAAAATCCTTTTCCAGGACACTCTATATATGGTGTGTTGCTTTGAAGGATGCTTTTTGGAAAACCTGCCTAAGCCTAGTCTGTGGAAGCTAAATAAAGAGTAAATCTGAATGTACTCCCATAGATCTCCTTTGTGTTGGAGACATCTGGGAATTGAGTGGATTTGCTCATTTCGATTTTTAGAGATTCTTTTCTCCATAGCTTAAGGTAACAGGTTCAGAGGTCCCTCCATGAGTCTTGTAATAATATTATTGATGATAGATATTGCTCATTATGTAAGGTCATGCCTAGGGACACACACACACACAAAGGATTCAAAATATTTATCTCCCTTATTGAATTAGCATCTGTTAATGCTTCCAGAAGTCTAGAGGTTTGCCTTATGCTTCTCATTCCTAAGAAAATGATGATCTCAAAAATCACATTCATAAATACATACACCTAAATATGGGTACATCTGAAACAGAACCAGCCTCCACGGCAGCAGCACTTGGCCTACCAGTATGCTTCATGCAGCCGGAGACAGTGGCAGCCGGCCAGCATATTCTCCTCTAATCCATTGCTAGTCTACCTTCTAAGTATTATAAATATTCATATATGCCATAGAACACTATGAAGGGCTTTATTCAAACATTTTTTGAATACTCCTTTATGTTCCCCCCAAATAAAAGAATGTCGGCCTTTTTTTAAAAAAAAAAAAACATAAGGATCAGAGTGTGGATTCTCTTTTGTTCATATTCACAAGTCCTGAAAACCAATATGCAACAAATTCTCTAATCCTCATTTCAGATCTCAAGGGTGAAGATGTTCAAAATGAAAATGCTTAGGGTTGGCACAGTGATTTGCTATGACTGTGCAATGCTGTCACCAAGAAAAGACACCGGTGTTTCTGGGCACCCTGGTGACTTCTGCCCCCTGGCAGGGCCTCCCTCTGGGGACACAGTCCACCATCCCCACACAAGCTGCCAGCTCTGTTAACACCAGGCCCTTGCTGATGGATGACTGGGAAGTGGCACTGACATCAACCTGGAACGAAAGACAGATCCTTCCCCAAGACACACAGGAATAGCATCAGCCACTAGCTATAGTGTGGGGATAAAGGGAAGGGCTGCGCTGGCGTATGGGGAGAAAATGTTGGAAAACCAGCAAGGTTTAACAAAACATAATGAAATCTTTCTGAAATTGTTTCATTTTCTAGTAACATCTAGTTCGTGGAAAGGTATTTAGGAAATCAAACTTTTTTTATGAAATGATTTATCAAAGAAATACAATTTATAAAGTTGCTGCAGCCGAGGACTAACAGTACTTTTTCAATATCCTTTCTCCCTTCTCTTTCATAGAGCCCCATAACATTTAGTGGGGCCCATGGATATACAAAATAGGGGATACATTTTCTAGGTTTCCTTTCATATGACTAAATTTCTGGCAGTGAAATGTGAGACAAGGGGGGTGTGCAACTTCTTTCTTATTTTTAATGGGAAGCAACATCATCTCCTTTCCCCTCCCTGAAGCTGGGATGGAAGGGGGACATGGTGGTCTACCATCTTGGATCATATGAAATAGCAAGAGAGAGGAGGTGTGGTACCTTGACTTTCTAAAGAGCAGAACTGCCATGCCCACTCAGACGTTTCAGTGAGAAAGAAATAAACTTGTCTTGCTTAACCCCTCATTAATTTTGGTTTCCACTATTGCAGCCGAAATGTGATCTTAGCTAGTCAGTTGCTGTGCAGCAAAAGTGGACTCCCTGAGGGCAGGGGTTAAGGACTTCTTTACTCTGTGCTCAGCAAAAGGAACCCACTGCTGTGGGTATAAAGCACAAAAATGGGAAGGGGGCACTCTCCTAGTACACTGAACACTACCTTGACTTTTCCTTTGCAGGTTATGGATGGAGCACCAAGATCTAAAAATCCCAGATGAAACACCTTTTACCCCCTACCCCCCTCCAACAGATGACCGGCTTGGTGCACTCTGCTGTTCTTATCTGCTCTGTTAACTTTAGTGATCAAAAGTTCTAAAGCTCAGTCAACCTTTTAGGAAACTCTAGCTTCAATACTTTTGTGCACATGTTGATTTTATAGTGCAGTGATTGGCTTAGCCACCCCTCAGTCTGCCCTTCTGCATAAAGTGATTCAGAAAGTAACTTTTCCCCACTTGCTGTATCTTTCATTACAGAAAAATGGTTGATTTAAAAAAGAATGCAGGGAAATTGTTTAATTCTCTCCATATTAATAAATGAGCAAAGAATTTTATTACTATGATCAAAAAATTATTAAACTGATACAGTAATGGAAATTTTTGTAGCTTGCCCTTGGTGTGGGAGTTGAGGAGAAAAACCACCGAGAAGTTTTGTGTCCTCTGGTGTAGAGTGTATTTGAGGAGTATGTGCTCATATTTCCTAAGAACTTAAGATATGGGAACTTAGTGCCCAGCAAGACCCATGCTTCCCTACCAGGCTTGGCTTTACCATAAGCTCATTCCTCAAGCTGAATGGTGCTGATCCTTATGGGATTACTGCAGGGTATTTCAAGTTCTCCTAGAGTCATACATACTAGGTCAATTTCTTTCTTTTTCTTTTTTCTCTTCTTTCTTTTTTGGTGGTGCTGAGGATTGAACTTAGGGCCTTGTGCATGCTTGGCAAGCACTCTACCAACTGAGCTATAATCCCAGCCCTATACTAGCTCAATTTCAAGAAACAATTAGAATTGCAGTTTTCTGATAAGAATTCTATGGTTCAAAGGAAGACTCAAGTACGATGGAGCTACTATAACCCAAAGATGGATGGAGCAGGCATGATCCCCATGGAAAAGTGAAGTGTTGACTGAGTATTGAACCTCATGTCTCCTGAGCTCCAAGTCTTGGGCTTTTCTTACAGTGCCACATCCTCACTGTAAATCATAAGCCAGGGGAAATCCAGTATGCGGCCAAAAGGGTTCAGAGACAATGGAGCATTCTACTAATATGCGCTGTGTAGCCAAAGAAAGGTTTTGGTGTGACCTGCTTTATTGCTTCATGAAAAATAAGAAAATCAATAGCAAAGTAACTATGTCAGACAACACTTTTTTGGTGGGGGAGGAGAGCAGGGTTGATTATGGGAAGGTGGTTGGAAAATATTGAATATGCATATGCCAGTTCCTCATTTGTTACCAAAATTTCTTCTTCTTGTTAACAGAGAGTTTCAAGTTCCCTCTCTGAACTTGGGTGAACTTTATTCGGATGGGTAAGACACACTTAGATTAATACTCCATAATCAAGATCTGTATAGAGTTGCTTTTACCTAGTGCACTAAAGTCAGGCTTTGCCGATAAACATTTCAAAGGCATCCTGGGGCAGTCTAGCTCCACAAACCTTACAACAAAACAACCACACAGAAGTCACTGGAACATTTGTGCATTTTAGCAACAGGCAGCCAGGGACAGAAACGCACAGCATAAAAGCTGGCTGCTGCTGTGAGCCACAGCACAAATACTATTCAATTTCACAAAAGAGAACTGACAGAATAAAATAGGTAGCCAATTTGAACCAAGTATTTCAAAACTCCTTTATGTGTAACTACCTTTTAAAACATGGCAGCGTATATGGAAATTATTTCCTTTATTAGTACAAATGCAAATTTTATTTTAAAAAAACATTGTGGTTAAAGTTATAATACTGCACGTACCATTTTTTCAAAGTTTACTAGATTGTCAATGAACGTCTTGTTCCCCTCATGAGTAAATGTCATATCTGTAAAGAAATAAAAGCCACATTCTAATCACTAACCGAAATATGTCATACTAAGAAAGTACAATAGCACCATTAGATTATGCAGGTGGATTTGCATAACACTGCAGTGGAACAGGGCTGATAATAGTTCCTTTTATGTTAGGTGTTTAACTTTCTAAATCACTTTACCTGAAATTAGTAAAATTTCTAAACTAACCTTCTGTTTCACTAACAATACTTCCAAATCATAGATTCCCCGCTCTTCCAATCATCTTCCAACCCCTTCTGAAAGTCAGGGCTCAGAGGAGGTGACAAAGAGGTGGAAGAATGGGATCACACTTCCCCAAGAGATGGATCTGATCAGATGTTGCTTGTCTTTCTTCCCCCAGGGCTCACCACCTCCTGGTCTGCATATGTTTTAGGATTACCTTTAATGAGCAGAGGCATGAAGGGGATGAGAGGGGGCTCCAGTTTAGCTGCTGTCAGCCTGTAAGCCCTGTGGTTTCTCGAAGGATCCTTAGGAGACAAAGAGATGCTGGTCAATGAGTGACACATACAACATACCCCCTTTTACCTCCTAGCACACCAGTCATCCCACAGTTGGGTATTTTTGAATCAAATGTAGCTACAAAAGAAAGGTAGACTTAGTTAAAGATATTGATTTGCATTTTAAAATGCAAATGGCAAGACAATATTTTGCTTTCTGTTTCCATTCTGGTTTGAAGGGGTGATTTGCCTAAAGGTGCCAAGGGGAGGAATGGAGGAACTTTAGGTAGGGCCAAGGGGAGGGAGGGGGCAAATGGGTAGAAATGATGATGGAATGAGTTAGTACATGTATGAAGACAAGAATAGTGTGAAAATATTTGTGTATAATCAGTGACTTGAAAAATTGTGTTCTATATGTGTAATATGAAATGAATTGCATTCTGCCATGGTATATGAAAAATCAGAATAAATAAATATTTTTTTAAAAAAAGAATACAAACAACAATAAGTGTTGGTGGGGATGTGGGGAAAAAGGCACACTTATACTTTGCTGGTGGGACTGCAAATTGGTGCAGCCAATCTGGAAAGCAGTATGGAGATTCCTTGGAAAACTTGGAATGGAACCATCATTTGACCCAGTTATCCCACTCCTTGGTTTATACCCCAAATACTTAAAAACAGCATACTACAGGGACATAGCTATATCAATATTTATAGCAACACAATTCACAATAGCTAAATTGTGGAACCAACCCAGATGCCCTTCAGTAGATGAATAGATAGGGAAACATTGGTATATATACACAATGGAACATTACTCAGCATTAAAAGAGAATAAAATCATGGCATTTACAGGTAAATGGATGGAGGTGAAGAATATAATGCTAAGTGAAGTAAGCCAATTCTAAAAAACCAAAGGCCAAATGTTTTCTTTGAAATGAGGATGCTGATTCATAATGGCCATGGGGTGGGGGGAGTATGGGAGGAATGGAGGAACTTTAGATAGGGCAAAGGGGAGGGAGGAGAAGGAAGTAGGCAAGAGGGTAGGAATGATGGCAGAATGAGTTAGACATCATTACCCTAGGTACATGTATGAAGACAAGAATAGTATGAAAATACCTTGTGTCTAATCAGTGACTTGAAAAATTGTGCTCTATATGTGTAATATGAAATGAATTACATTCTGCCATCATGTATAACAAATTAGAATAAATAAATAATTTAACTTTAAAAAAAAGTAAATACGAAACCAGTAAAACTTGGAGATTTTCCTTCCCCTGAAGCCCTGCCTCCTCCCTGGGAGGTTGGCTCAAGGTTCCCTCTACCTGCTTACCTGCCTACAGGTTCTGACTTGCCCCATGAAACCATCCCATGGCTCCTAGCAAGTCCCACTCACTCCTTTTCTTTCTGTTAACACCTCCCAGCCAATGGGGAAAAATAATTTTGGCAAGCCAAGAGATATGCAGCGCCCAATCCACAGCCAACCTGAGCTGGATGGAAAGGACCCCATTACACTGCTTTTCTTAGTTACACAAATTGACCTTATGTGGGACATAAGTCCTCTTTAAGTTAGTTCCTGAGGGTGCCATTCATTAGTCAGACATGCTTGTTTTAGCAGCACTAAAAGGGATCATAAACTTCTTAAAGTCATACAAGGACAGATAAAATTTCCGAAATGAGAACTTCAATTCAGTTAATCAGAAATTGGATTAATGCAGACAGTGAACAGAATAAAGGAGCCACTGTCACTTACCATTAAACTTTCAAACTCTGCATAGAACTTCTTGAACTTGCTTGGCAGTTTCTGTTAATGAAATGAAAATGCCAAACGAATATGTCAGATTCAATATCTAGATATGTATCATGTGTTACCATTTCTAGGTAGGAGAAACATATTTCTTTTGGCTTTTCATCAAACATCTCTGAGACAGGGCAGTTTATAATCTCTCCTGTCACTTGAGAATCATCTTCTGGAATACAGAGAACTTGACTTTTCAAGGTCTTAATCTAGTTGAGCCAAAAGTAACTATAAATGCTATAGTATTACTGCTTTTATAGTAATATTTTTATATATTTATATTTTATATATTTATATTACTGTGTATATGTGTGTGTATGTGTATATATATATATACATATACATACATATATATGTGTGTGTGTGTGTGTGTGTATATATATATATTTTTTTTGTACTGGGGATTAAACCCAGAGGTACTTTACCACTGAGCCACATTCCCAGTTCTTTTTTTTAATATTTATTTTTTAGTTGTAGTTGGACACAATACCTTTATTTCACTTATTTATATTTATGTGGCGCTGAGGATCGAACCCAGAGGCGAGCGCTCTACTGCTGAGCCACAACTCCAGCCCTTTTCCCAGCTCTTTTTAATTTTTTAGGCAGGGTTTTGTTAAATTGCAGAGGGCCTTGCTAAGTTGCTAAGGCTGGCTTCAAACTTGCAATCCTCCTGCTTCAGCTTCCTGAGTTGCTGGGACTACAGGCATGTGCCATTGTGCCCAGCATTCTTTTATAATATTTTCTGAACTGAATGATTCATAAAGAGAACTGCATTTCCCAAATTCATATAAGTGACCTGGACCCATCATTCCCTTTTTAAAACTCTCTGATTCTCACAATCATAAATTTAGACCAGAGAATATTAGGATCCAAAGAGATTTAGAAACGGCTCAACACTCCTCTTTTACAAAGCAAGCTACGTTACAACAGGACCTTTACCAGTTTTGTTACTGCTATTCCCTCAGTGCCTAGGAGAGTGAAGGTTACATACAAGGTGCTCAATAAATATTCATCTGACTAACTTAAGCCTGAGTTTTACAGGTGGAAGAAATTAGGTCTCAGTTAAGATGACTGGACCAAAGTCACGCAGCTGGTTGTCATCAGTGTTGCTGGAATTCACATCACCTCTCTGCTTTCCTATCTCATCTCTTCTATGCTCTATGCTTTTCCACATGGACATTTCTTCCACGTGATTTCTCTGCTTTGCTAAAACATAAAATTGATAGCTCCACCAATATGTTGATTTCTCCTGTTTATTGGTTGGCCTGAGACTCAATACCATCCACTGTACCTGCAGATCTAACCAGTACATCAATACTGGATGGTCTTTCAGCTCATTGGCTCCTGCTTTGCTTGGGTCCTGGGTTTTTAGTAAAGCTGGACTTTTGTCTTTGAACAGAGCCAAACCAAGATGGAGCAGCCTGACATGTTCCCCACGCAGAGTTGGGAAGCATGGACAAGTCCTGGGCCCAGAGATTCCTGACTCAGCTCTGCTCTGCCCAGCAAAATCTACCTTCAAAACATTCACCAGTCAGGCTTCCACAATCCTCAGAAAGCTCCTCTCCTCTCTTCCTCTCTTGTGTCCAAATCAGTTTGTTATAGTAGCATTTAAACATCTGTAAAAATATTATTTTATTTCATACAGTCCAAACTCATTTTCCTGGTATCAATTTTTTAAGTTTGGTTTCAGGAAAACCTGATGTCGTTACTTGGGCTATTTAGAGGCCTAAAAACTGCATGGGCATGGAGGGGTGCTAGGATCTTGTGTAAAGTATCCCAATCACCATGTTTTAATGACTGGGACATTCTTAAAATTAGAACGTTTTGCCAGGTGCCGTGGCACATGCCAGAGGCTCAGGAGGCTAAGGCAGGAGAATTGCAAGTTCAAAGCTGGCCTCAGCAAGTTAGCAAGGCCCTAAGCAATTTAGTGAGACCCTGTCTTTAAATAAAATATCCAAAAAGAGTGGTGATGTGGTTCAGTGGTTAAGCACCTCTGGGTTCAATCCATCTAACCAAAAAAAAAAAAAAAAAAAAAAAAAATTGGACCTTTTCTGATTAGACCCAAATGTCTGTGTATATAGTCCATTTTGGATTAGACCTCTGACATTCTTGTTCTTTCTTTACTTAGCTGGCTTTTAGGTTCAAGGATATAGGACACGTGCTAATATAACATTTTGTGGTTTTTCAATACTATTATTTATCCACACTCTGAGCTTCAACAGCAGTATCTCTATAGGGGCAATTTTGCCAACCCAGGGGATATGCAGTAATGTCTGCAATTTTTGTTGTCACAACTGGGGAGAGGTGTGCTTAGAAATGTTATTGAAATCGAGTGGGTAGAGGCCAGGGAGGCTGCTGAGCATCCTATGGTGTGCAGGACAATGCTCCATGATGAGGATGTGTCCTGCTCAGACTGTCAATAAAGCTCAGGCTGCGACACCCTACTGCAGATGATCATCTCACTGGCTTCATCTGGGACTCTCTTTGCTCTCTGCTGGGAACCCCTCCCTTCCCTCCACCATGTGGCTTAGCTCTACTCCCTGTGTTGTTCTTCCACTGTTTCGCACACCTGCTGGAGCTCCTGGGGGTGAGGGGCTGCTCCTCACACGGCTCGCATGGCCATCACCTACACACTGGAGCTGTCTGGGAAACCCTTGGGACGTTCTCACAAAATACAGGGAGATCAACCCAAATCAAAGATGCTCCTGAACGAAGGCTCTTCCTATCGGACCACACAATTACATTTCACCTTAAAAAGAAAGGTTTATGAATGATGAAAGCCTCATCTTCTCTTGTCAGTGACACACAATGATGAAAATAGAAGCTCAGAGACACAAAGTACTCCTATCCCTGGTGGAAACTAGAGGACTAGCCAATTAACTATCTCCTTTTGCCGACCATGGACTGGCCAATTAGTTCTGTTCTTTTGCTGGCTACACCCTCCCCAGAGGCCTCCGGTTTTTCTTTTCCGAGCAGGAGAGGGACTCAGTTAGTGTTTCCCACATGCTATGGTCTTACTCTCTGCTATTATGTGGCACCTCCACCAGGCCTCCCTGGACCCCCATGAGGCTTTATGCCTCTTTTATTTTTCCCAATCAAGTCCTTTGGACTCCTTGCAGGGATTAGAAGCTGGAAGTAGATTGGGGAAGGCAGGCTGGGGAGAGCAGAGTATCTGAGGGGAACCCTAGGTCTCTAAAGATCCCAAGAGCCTTGGGCTATAAGACAGGGGCGGTGCGAAATGGCTTCATTGCTTAGATTTGTTGGCGGCTCTAGCTCTGTCCTTTTGCTAGCTGGAAGATGATACAGCTGCGTGGCATGCAGGCCTCACCAATTCCCTCATTCCTATATTCAGGGCATGAGCTGCTGTGTGCTGCATCTGCCTGGAATTTTAAGAGAAACCCAAGACAGAAGGACTTGTGAGGACCTGCCCTATAAACAATGGAAACATTTAGGAGGGACAGAGAAAGAAAATAGTTTCAAGAAGGAAATGGGGAGGAAAGTAATTTCAAAGGAAACATTTAGAGACGCAGACAGCTGTCTTTAAGCACCATTGCAAATCGAGTCTATTATAGACTCCTTGCCCTCTTTTTGTGTCTCCCATACTTTTTTTTTTATTTTTAGTAAGAATCTATTTTTGTGTGTATGTTCTATTGGAGATGAGTGTTCCTTTCAACTGTATGTCACATGTAAGAGGTCAAGCATATTTTGAGCACTAAGCTCATGATAAATGAAGATATTTTTGAACAACCAAATATCAACAAACTACTCATCCTGTTTGCTATAGAAATTCATGGCACACCTGCATAACTTTTGCCCCAAACAGAATCCTAGTCAATTGTTGCTCCTCTACCGAGAGAGAAGTCTGCCAGGTGGTTAAGAGATGCTTAGTGCTCTGCCCCTCTAAGCAGTTGGCCTCTGAGCTGTTTCTCCCAGGAGCAAAATGATGACTTAGCTAAACATGGATCTTTTGTCCTCCTTCAGTCATAGGTAAGACTTGGAACAAAAGCAATAAGCAGAGTTTTCAGAGAACAATGGACTCTACGGCAAAACCTTTACAAATCCTCTAAGCAAATGGTGTTCCTTCATGTTATACCTATAAACTGGACTTCTTATTATTTATATTGTGTAGATCAGGAAGCTAAGATTCTCCCATGCCCTTTCCCACAGAGAAAAGGATGATATTTTTTTAAAGTCTCATTCTGTTGTAACTGGAAAAAGGAGACAGGCCATCTCCCTCCAAAGGTTCCAACTTTTACATTACTATACCAGAGTGAGTGATATTTCTAGAAAAATAGCCCATTGGTGAGCCTGCATTTTTATTCTTTTTAAAAAAATTTTTAGTTGTAGATGGACACAATACCTTTATTTTATTTATTCATGTGGTGCTGAGGATGGAACCCAGTACCCCCCACATGCAAGGCAAGCGATCTACCACTGAGCCACAACCACAGCCCTGTGTTTTTATTCTTAAGGCAAAAGTCACAGCTGGATCTCAGCTGAAGCTTACCTCCCACGTTAGTGCCAAGCGGCTAACAGCAACATTACTTAGTCCCATGACGATGGCAAAAAAGGAATTCAGATTTCTGTATTCCTTACAGCTGAAACACAAGAGAGATGAGTTTGAGTAAAATGCCATTTTTCGGTCAGATAAAAAAAAATTAGAGTTCTATTTCTGATAGTCATCAATATTCTTTAGGATTCCTTTATGTGAATGAGCAATAATAGATTTGGTGCACTGTGTAAGTTCCACTTGGGTAACCGCATTCTGCTGTTTGATTTCTCCCTGTCATTTTAGGAAGTTGATGGTTTTGGCCAATGAGGTATGAGTTTTGAGAAGTAATTTGAAGACACTTCCCCTGGAAGTTGTTATAATTTCAAATTTGCTAAATGTCATGAAAGACCTGAGGAAAACATCCTAGGGGACAGGAAGCAAAAAAGGAAAATGTCCTTGGAGACTTCCAGACCTTTAGCCTGAGGATGGACACCTTCCCTGGTAGCTGGAGTGGGGCTAAGAAGCCATAATGCTGCAGCCACCTGCCTTCCACCTGCCATGCAAATGCTTCTCAGTGTTGAAAACTACCAAGTTTTAAGGCATGATCCCAAAGGAATAAATCTCAGAAGTGTGAATGTGAGAAGTGACCTAAACAATTGATGACAGGTGAACCTTTTCCTGACATCAAAGAAGCTGAGCATTTTAAATCTGTACTTGTGCTACTATTAGCTTTTAAGAATATATACTTGGGGAGGAAACATGTGGAACAAGTCCAGAAATTCTTATTAGAATGGTGATATCTAGGCCAGGCACTTGGTTTAATTACCAAAAAAACCCAAAAAAACAAAAGGAATCTCAACTTCTTCATATAAGGTCCCTGAAAAGGGAAAGAATTCATTTTGCAATACGCACAAAACCTTCACCTTAAATCAATGTGGCTATCTAAGTTTACTAGTTCCTAGTTAGATCCTGTTTGGATGAACATTTTTATAAAATGCAAGTAAATGATTGCATTTGCTACCTAGTTTCTTCTTGCAAAGGTAGCAACAGTAATTCTTCAATGGTCTGAGTGGAAATGGGAATGAATATAGAGCAGCTAGAATGTGTCTGTTTCATGAGAAGGCCAGCAAAGTCTCATGGTGCTGGGGTAGTGGCTTCCAAGTTATTTGGGAGACACCAGGACTGAAGGCAGAGAGTGCAGTTATTTGTATTTGCCTTTGTCTTGTGTCTGATCTTGAAAGAATAAATGCTGGGTTGTAGACCTGTGGTGACTTCATCACCCATGGTATATCACAAGATTTCTCCACCCCTAAGTTTCCTTTAGGAATCAAAGGAAACCACCAACCTGCCTCCCCTCTCCAACTTCACAAAGTTCTGGACAGGACAAAGCTTGAATCGAATATGTTGTGGTTCTCTAAAAACATCAAGTAGGACAGACACGACTGCCACCAGGTTTCCATCTCATTCTTGCAGATCTTGGAGCAATGAAAGTCTACAATCTTCTCCAAGTGGGCTGTGAACAGCTCCATTATAGGACAGCAAACTCAGCACAGGGCTTAATAATGGTTAAGTAATATACACTGAAGGCCGGGTCCACCCACTCACTCACAATCAGAAGGAAGCAGGGTAAGAAAGGAAAAATCATGCAAAAAAAAAAAAAAAAAAGATTCTTGGTTTTTTTTTTTTTTTTGAGGGGTTCTTCTTTTTTGCCTCTGTAAAATAACAGGATTGAGCACCAAAGGGTTTTCTGCATCCCCACATTTGTGTACAGACCGACTCTTTCTTTCCCTTGCTGCATTTGACATTGCCAGGCTGAGGTGAGAGAGAATGTGCTCCTCATGATGGGAAAGCACACATTGTCACAGTTTCCATAATCCACTCATTCCAAACACGTGAAGGCATTTGTTCTTTGCAATGAGGCTGTTCATGCTCCTGGGGAGTGTGGCTACGTTCTGAACCAGAAATGCATAAATGCAACGTTTTACCAAATCGTTTTCTTCAAACAGCCAGCTTTTCCAAATGAAGAGATAGCAGAATTTGAATCCAAGGGATCCGGTATTTTGTCAAACCCTTGAATTTCTGGCAAAATAATTCAAGGCACTTGGCAAGCTGCTGTCTATAAAATATCGAGCAGCCTGTATGTCTTTGTTTAGCCCTGGGAATCAGACACCGTATGGGATCTCAACTATTTGGCTCAAGAAAATTGCCTGGCTGGGGTCATTTGCTCTCCCAACCTCCCTGTGCTTTTAGAAAGGAGAGGAGTCTCACAGCCACAGGCCACATTTAGCTTTTTATTTTTAGCACTGTGGTGATACCAAAAACATGGAAGTAAACAGGAGGTTGTCAGGCATATCTAAATAGCCAGGGAAGATGAAATTCATGTCAGGGAGAAACCTAACTGGCCCCTGCAGTAAATAAATTGTTTCCCACGAAGTGCTGTTAAATAGAATATTTATAAGATGTTTGCTTTTTCTGATGTTTATGGAGATGATTTTCTTGTACCAGGTTAGCTCGCCTTCATGCATTTTACTGATTTTATTCTAGCTGAGCTGGATGTGCTGTTGTACTAGCATGCTCCACTGCCCTCTCCTGGTGAGAATGTGTCATGCTGGACATCGATTTCAGGAGCCTCTTGAAAGACTTTGTGCAAAGCAACTTTGGAAGAACCAAAGAAGATTAAAAAAAATTCTGAGTAGTTCAGAACAAAAGAAAATTAAAAAAAGAAAACATCATAGTTTTGACTCTAGAATTAATGCTATACGATACAAATTTATATAGGGATGTCAAATATTATAAAAATTAGAAGAAATTCATTTTTCTTTTACAAAAATTCAGTTATTTGTGAGCCCCTAATGGCTGGTCCTTGTGCACAAGGAGTTCCTATGTTTTGTTTTTCTTTTTTGAGGTGTAGTCTAAGAAAACCAAATGAAAACACAGCTCAGAGATTTTGTTCTCTTCCCAAGTTAAAGATACTTACTGGGCTGCAATCTTAATAAATTTTTTTAAGAGCTGAACACGTTTGCTGAGCTGGGAACAAAGGCAAATCTCAGTGACAACCCAAAACTGAATTTCATTAAATCTCCTCAGGAACAAATCCAAGTTTGCTGTGGTCTTTTTAAAATTATGCCTTCCAAATGTGTGATAGATTAGCTCCAGCTAGAACAGAAAGAAAAACAATTTCACTTATTTGTTTTTAAATCAAAACACCAGCCAGCCTGGCTTCTCCAATTTGTTCTATCGGTCAGCAAATGTGAATTCAATCACTGACCTGGAAGCGACATGCCCTGCAAATATGAAGGGCTTCTATGATGCCTGTTAAATACATCAACATAAACTAGGTGTTACTGGCTTAATAGACTTAGGAAGACATAGCATACGTAACACAGCACCATAAAAAAATTTCTTTAATATTTAAAGACTTCATAACAGGCACTATATATAAACACAATATGGAAAAAAACCCCTGTCATGTGGCTTCCATATGGCAACACATGTTAACATACAGAGTTGAGCAAGGCCAGGGGGCTTCATTCAAAGTCGCTATTGCATCTATTAATGCACCCTCTTGGGCACCTTACCTCATGCACACAGTTGAAGAGTTCCCAATCATAAATTGTCATCTGGTAGGCTAAATCTTTGGAGCTCATCAGTTCAAAGGTTCCCACTGTTCCAACAGTTGGACCTTCTTGTTCTGGTAAAGGAGTCTGTGGATGATAATGCAAAAATATCTCAGAATCTCAAAACAGACAAAAGCATAATGCTGAATATTTTCAGGGGTTTTCTGAGGGCAAAGGATTCTGGAAATGTTTCCAAGAATATCTTGAAACTTTTACTCAAGAGAAAGATGCCATTACTCTTAATGTCTCTATGGTACCACCATCATTAGAAGCCATTCCACGACTGAAAAATGTGGACCCCAGCAAATAAGATTCAGTGAAGGGTGACTTGAAGAGGTTCTCTTATTGCTGGGTTTGGGAGGTCCTTAGAAACTCTCCTCTTTCCCTAGTAAAGATGGATGAAGTTTTGGGAGACTTTCCCCCTCCTATTTCCCATAGACGCTGTTACAAAGGGATCTGTCAGGGCAGTTTTAGACTTTTCTCCACAGGGATCCTTATTGCTGCTGGTGACTGGTCAAGTCACTGTGTCTCCATCTTCAACACACTGCCTGGGGCAGCGAGATGGAGAGTGCAGGGAGCTGAGGTCACACACAATGTCCCATTCCTCTAACTCCTGGCATTTGGGGGACTGAGAATGATATTCACAGGGTTGTACTGTTTGGAGCTACACATGAACACACCAAATTGCTACTTTCTGGAAGACCCTGGGTCAAAAGTTTCCATCTACTTACTTATCTCATTTTTCTTTTGTGAGAAATGATCTAAAATTATTTTCCTTAGAAAGAAAGGATACAGGGACAAAAGAAATGTATATACAATGCATTAATATCTACCTATATATGAAAGAGGCAGTAGATATATTACAAAATAACAAAAGTGAATAAATATTTCCCAGTATGATGCTAACCATATTAATATACTAAATATTTGTATATTCAATATTCATATCAGAAGTACTGATGTTTGTTGTATGTTTTATCATCTTCATCATGATCACCATAAACACTTTATTCTATAAATAACCTCTACACTAAAGAAATTAAATGTTCAGCAGGTAGGTGGTCCCTGCATCTAAGAGGCTAAAGCCTAAGAGAATATCAATCAAATTCACAGTGTAAAAGAGTCAGTCCTGACTAGCAAGCACAACACTCCACGTGGGTACCTTCAGCTGCTGAGCTTCATTTACACATCTAAAGAAATGGAAATACAAACACACAGGACTCCCAGGTACAGAGATAAACAGGTGGGGAAACCTGAATGAGACTTTTAAAGTTACTGGATATTTGCAATGAATGTGTGGCTTGAAAGGGTTCTTGGTGGAAGAAGTTTGACTTTGAAAGATATAGCAGACTCACACCAGTGGATTAGAAGAGTAAGCTTTCCCCTGAGTATTTAGATGATTTACTGTAGGATGAAGGAAGACCAGGAAGGCATGAAGGTAGGGAAGCCATCAGGGGAACTGCTTGGCAGGAGCAGAGCACAGGGGGACAAAATGGACAGCTTGAACAGCTTTTAGAAAGTCCTTTGAGGAATGGATTAATCACTCAGACATTGGAAGACTAGACCATAGACCAGGTGAGTGTCAGCTTTAGAGAGCAACAGACTAAACATCAACCCACTGTAACTACAGAGACTTGGACTGATTCCTTAATCTCTTGACTGTTTCTAGCTCTAGTACATTGGGCCATAATTTCTTAGTTGGTAAATTGGGGTCTGAATCCCTAGGCTTCTTAAGAGGCTTTGGTGGGAATGATTTAAATGCAACATATAAACACCAGCAGAGAGGGGGGGGTCCTCTCCCAGATTAGTTCACTTTTCAGAAGGGCTATAAATTTGCAATACAAATTTTCAGGAAAGTATGATCAGCACACCTGGAGTGTTGTCCCCGACTCACTGTATGCAGGGGACAGAGAACAGGAAGGCAGGACAATGATTCCAAGGTTCTAAAACAGGGACCAACTGGAAACTGATGGAAAAATAGTTCATGGAAGCTAATGAGGACAATGGTTTACAAGGCGGGGAGGCCTTAGGTAGAAACAATAGGGAAGAGTTTAAATTCCAGGTCTTAGGACCACCTTTCAGGTGAGACTGGCTTTCCACATTCTCCTTTCCCTCCTGCAGCTGCTGCTGTGAACTCAGTCCCTCTGCTCCTGTGTGTAGCACCCACACTTTACGCTTGCCCTCTCCCTGAGGTTGCAGAGACTCAGTTTACCTGGCTGCCCACTGGTTCCACCTGAGGCTTTATAGAGGATAAATTAACCCAACATCTCCCAAGCAGATTACAGTAATAAGAAAGATGCCAAGGTATTTTAGTTGTGGATGCTGATCTGTCATCCCTGTCTCCCTTCACAGAGTAACAGAAAGCCCTGGAGACGCTCTACTTTGAGTGGGCAGGGTTCACCAAGTCGCCCTCTTTCTTGGCAAAAGGCAGCTGACCCCTTCCTCCGGAGCTCATTGACAAGGCGCTCCAAGCAACAAGCTGCTTCTCTCTCAGGAGTGGGGGAATTTTCAGGCTGACCCTGGGCTCTTTGGGAAGCATCTCAGTGGGCCAATTTCTCATAGATATTCCTGTGGAGGCTTCCTATATGAGGCACAGCAGAGCTTCCCTCAGGGTCTGCACTGCACAGACTGTGCGGAGCTCTGTGATGACATTTACTACATTGGATTCCCACTGGTGACGCTGTGAGCTCTCTGAGGTACATGGACCATGATGGAGCCTTCTTTGAGACCATCCCAGAGCCAGAATCATCCACAATGGCTGTGATGATATAGTTGGTACAAAAATCTAAGGAAGCAGCGAATGGATCAAAAGCAGAACAAAATGACAGCATAGTGGGATTTATTATAATCTGCTTTGTACTACATTTATACTTACATAAAAAGTTCAGAAAGGAAAGCTCCAGAGTCCAAGCCCTTAACCACGAGGCTAAATGCCAACACACTTCTTAATTTTAGATAACATAATTTAACACTAACACTTATTCTCTTCAGGCTCCATGGGTTCGTCTCCTCTCCCTAATTTGATTGTTAACTGTCCTAAGGACAGAAGTGCTGGGGCACTTGTCTACTTGGACACAGAAGCTAGCACAGCCCTGAGCACAGAGCAGACACTTTGTAAGTATGTGTTGATAGATCAAAGGGTTTGGATGACATTCTGTACTGCGGAGTCATCCCCTACAGAACCCTTCCTAGAAATATTGTCCTCCAAGGAAAACTTCAGCAAGCTAGAAAAGGAAGCCCAGGGCTCTGGCAAAGTGGCCAGTGAGGTTCCCTACTGTGAGCGCAGTGGATAGCAGAGCACCCTCAGGGAAGAAGTTCCCGTCCAGGGTGCTTGTGGCAAAGTACATTCCTTTCACCTACTCAGGACTTAAAATGGAAGATAAGCAAGGACTAAGAACTTTGGAAAGCTGCAGGATTGTGTGCAAATAAACAGAGGCTTAAAAAGTTTAGTATCTGCCCCACAGGGAGCTGGAGACAGTCCACGTGTCTGTCTATCCCCCACATCGTTTGTCTCTGCAGCCAAGAGCCAGCTGGCAAGAGAGGCCCTTGCACGCTGCAAGGTAAACATGTCACACAGCATCCTCCATAGGGCCCCAGTGAGACAGGAGAGGAAGCACAACTCATTTGTAACATTTTTTCCTATTCCTCAGTGTTGGGAGATATTTATTAAGAAACAATGAGGGTGCTGCTGGGACTATAGGTCAGTTGGTAGAGTGCTTGCTTCACATGCACAAGGTCCTAGGTTCAATCC